ATAATAAAATAATTATAGTAGATTAAAAAATTAATCTAAAAAACCACGTTTTCAAAAAGCAAAAAATAACCTTAAATGTGGTGCGCATGGAGATTGTTGGGAAGAAGTGAAATACAAATGAAATAGATGCGCACCATGTTTAAGGTTATTTTTTGCTTTTTGAAAACGTGGTTTTTTAGATTAATTTTTTAATCTACTAAATTTTTTATTGAGCAAAGTTCTCTGCATCACATCGTGTTTCCCTGGATAATTTTCGCATATAACCACATTTCAAGTTGAGCAGCGTCGGCTTCATTCAGTTGTTCTTAGTTCAGAAATTGTTGCAGAATCATCAATTTCAGTTATTCATTTTTTAATGTGTTTATAAGCATTTTTAAATGCAGTATGTGATGTTATTTCTAGATGCCTAACTTCTGTTACCCGGAAAACTTGAGAATTTGAAAAGGATTGAAAGAAGAAATATTTTTTGGACACAAATTTAGATCTTTTTCTTTTACAAATTTTTAAAAATTTGGAATATTATTGATATACAGTATTTGTTAATGCATTTTTAAACTGCAACTCAGTTGACGCAAATCATGTATTAAACATTTTGTGTATTAAAAATCATGTATGTATTAAATCGTATATGCATTAAATCATATGTGTATTAATCATATATGTATTAATCATATATGTATTAATCATATATGTATTAATCATATATGTATTAAATCATATATGTATTAAATCATATGTGCATTAATCATATATGTATTAAATCATATATGCATTAAATCATGTATTAAAATTTTTGTGCATGTATTACAAAGCATGACTTGAGAAAGATTTTACGTGAAGCAATAGAATTCCGTAGTGGTGTAGGCACTCGAATTGAACCAGGAACTACCCGTAAGCTGACCTCGACGCTCAGGTGAGGAATCCGAGGTCGAATTCTTGGGGAAATAGTGAAGTCGACTGTGAAGCCCGTGCGACCCGCTCGAGTAATTGTCTGGGTGACCGCGGGGCAATTCAAGATTATTTTTCATTCTTCTGGTACCTGCTTGATAATAATAAAGCCGGACGACGTTAATGACGTATTTGAGGTCACATGAAATGACGAGGGAAGAGGTCAACTTGATTTTTCTTCTCATGCATCATCCGTCGCTTACGTCGTGTAGTTTGTGACGTGCATTGTGTCAGTTCGAGACACGTTCATCAAGTGGCTTGTTCGCGAGCTGACTGCCCATATTGACAGCGTTCGATCTTTGGTGCGTTTTTTTGCTGTTGTGTAATTGCCTAAATTATAGTTTTGCATCGAAAAATTCGGTGTTTCCAATAAAATACTGTACACTTTTTCTGTGAAACGTTTAGTTTATTTGCGCTTCGATTAATTGAGATTTGATCAGCCGCACCCATGAAACGCTTTTGACATAATTCTTGCTACGTTCCTAAAAAAAAGACTTCTCGTAGTCCCAGATAACCTTTTTTTTTAGTTCCATGATTTGTAAATTAGTGTACGTCATCGTGTTTATTTATGTGGCTTTTGGAAGGCAAGGAAGGAATACCATTTCGGCTATTATGGATGCGTGATTTCAAGTTAACTCAAATAAGGCATCCTAATTTTAGGAAGCGAGACAAAAAGGGATTAAACTTCCCACTGTGAATACTGTAATATTCTATGCTTCCATTTTCTTCATTTAGTGGTGAATGACATTAAGGAGTGAGTGTTCTGAGAGAAAATTGCTCTCGAAATTTTTGGTTTTCTTCCCAGAAAAAATATTTACTCATAAGTGTACATTACATTTTCATTAATCATGCCAAGGAAGAAGACAGTGAACAACTGGTGTCAGTTTTCCAATTTTGAGTCATTTCATTAGCTACCCACTTTCTGTTTTTCATCCTGTCGAGATGAGAATAGAAGGTGAAAAAACAATTCATTTTTCGAAGGTGTGATTCGCATTGTAATCATTTTGAATAATCTAAAGTGAATCTGCGCAGAGGCAAGAAATTTAAAACTAAAACCGCTGTTTTCTGTTGTTTTGAAGGCTGCAGAAAAAAAAAATCACGATCCCGCTACTTTGGGTTCATGGGGATTTTCCTATCAAGTTTCATAACACATCATCATTCCCCACTTGACTACTGTATGAATCTATTGTGAATCATCGATATCTTTTCATCGGAAAAAGACTGCCGAATAGAGGTAAATTCTGAATCTTCAGCAAATACAGTAATTGAATTTTCCCCCCTCAAATCAAGGTAAGTTCTGATTTTCCGGACTGATAGTATTTTTCCGAAGAAACAGAAATGAATACATTTTTATTCTGAAATCGTATCTGATGAAAAATAGTTTTGCTGTCTCTGTTAGATTGCGGAGGACCTAGGGTTGTGTAATGTTCGATTCTATGAATTTCTTATTTGACGGTGTTGTGGAAGAGAGAAAGAAAACCATCGAATCTATTGTGCATTATACCATATAAACCTCCCAAGTCCCATCGATTTCAATTATGTGTACTTAAACCCCATCCCGACGTTATCTTCTACTCTTTCTAAACGTCGGCGTCTGATATCCCTAAATTTTTAATTGACCCGTCTCTCGATGGAAATTAAGTTTCCGTATGTTTCTAAAAATTAAAATTCCGTCGTAATGTGATAGAAATAGCGGTATTCACATGTATTTATCGGTCTTCCAATTTTGCGGACTGCTTAAAAAATCAAAAACATATGTTCGTTGAGTATCTGAATAATAACCCGGGCCTCCAACTGATTTTTTAAAGCTGACGGATGCATAGTTTTTGAACTGTAGCTAAAATTGAGTTATTTCAAGAATTAAAAAAAGAGCCGATTACAATTTTTAATTCAACGAAAGCTACCTCGACGTATTGGAAATATAAAAGTTCAACTAGTAATTTCGAAACTTCAGGGCTCAGTAGAATTACAGGCATAATTCTGCTTATTATCGGATTCCGGAAAATATGCGGTACTCCATCAAATTTTCCCAATCTCGTTTCAAGGTGCATAAAAGCTGAAATTAATTCCTACGTATTTCATGCAATACTGTCGGGGACACGCTGAAAAAACGTGAGTGCGTTGTTGAAAGTGCAGTGCGAAATTTATGCTCAAGTAATAAGATCTTTCTCAGAGTACCTGTTCGTGTATCTAGTGCATGAAGTGAAGGTTTTTTTTCGGGCAGTCTGCAAATTACTGGGATCGTCAGAAAAAAATGTTCACTGATCCTCCCATAGCACATAACTTATCTTCATTTTCAGAGTCATAATATTTTAAAAATCATGGACCAATAACTGTAGTACCATCAGATCAAGTACAGGATATTACAGGAAAAGTTTTTCCCTCGCCATTCTCCCGAAAAATTCCCTGAATAAATCAGATAATCTGAAAAAAAAACTGTCATCCCGTCTGCAAAAGTTCCATCAGCGAGGCACGAAGTCGACGTGTTTGAAAATCGCGTCGCGCACATTGCTTCATTGTTTTGTGTTTGGATATTAAATATCGTCACAATGATATTCAATCCTCATCGAAGGTTACTAGAGTTTAAGCTCAAAATATAAAAAAAGAAGGGGATGGAATGCCGTTGGAAGATCGTGATGAAAGAAAATGAAAAGATGTGTTTACCATCATCTCAACGTAGAAACGGATTCTGGTCGTGTAACAGCCGCATATGTCGCTGGTTGCGTGATTCAAAGGGACTTGCAAGTTAACATTGGTTCCTCACGAGACGTATTTACTCGTAGTCGTGCGTATAAAAATCAATCAATGACGAGGTTTTTCAATCTTGCCTACACGCGGGAGTTTTTTTTTTTTTTTTTTTTTTTTTTTTATTTTCTTATTTTTAATTCTTGCCTTCCCGGGGGGGTTTTTTTTTTTTTTTTTTTTTTTGCATGAAACGACAAGAGCAACATGGAAAGTACTGCTACATGTTGGTGTATCTTCAAAACGTCACGGACTGATGAAAAATATAGTTGGACTCTCTCTCTACAATTTTAGGCGACCTTACATCAATTCTTTCTAGAGAGAATTTCGTTGTAGAGAACCCCAATTACTATGGGTAGAGATCCCTGTGCCTGTGGGATCCAAAACAAATTTCGACACCGAGGAAAACGTAGTAGACCACATTTTTGAAGAGATTGTCCGCCAGCCTGTATATTTTAAAATTTCACACTGAAATGAACTGTCGCCATAGTTTTTTTTTCGAAACGACGAGAGAAAAGTAAAAAAAAAATGACGTGCTTTGATATTCGTAAAGGTTCTCGGACTGATGAAGGAAGCGTCAGAATTAATTTTACTTGTGACGGATTCAGAAATCCGTGATCAAAATGGAATGTGACGTTCTATGGTTTATTTAAAAGCATTTGAAATTCTGATAAATATGTCACCCACTCAACTTCACGATGGCACAAAAGAACGATAATTATCCGTAAATGCTAGTTCAATTTAGGGTAATTACGTCGAATTTTTTTTTTTATTTTGAGAATACAGTGCCGAAGCGACAATTTCTTATTTTGTCTTCGTTATCGATCCATCCGCTCATTTATATCAGTGAATGTTCACCTTAAAACAATGAAAACTCATGTGTCAGAGTCTAAGGACTTGGAAATTGTTTTTACAATAATACGGGATTACATTTTGGAAACACTGTGTTGTTTGTAAAGCTGAAAATGTTTCTCTCGATGCCATTTTTGAAAATTCTCAAAAATAATTTCGGGTCTTTTTTCCTTGTCGGCCATATTTTCCCCGAATTTTTTTCCAAGTGGGCGATACTGTCTCTTTTCCCCACATTGCTGAAAATATTAGCGCACGGAAATAAGCACACTCATAGTAAAAAAAAAAGATGACTTTCTGAAAAGACAGTTCGTCGGTTTTTTTTTTTTTTTTGTGAGGAAGAGGTCCTTTTTTTCTTGGCCGACCATGAGAGACCCCCATCTTATTGATCTTTTCCGGCAGCAGCAGCAGCACTGGATGTCACAAAAATGTTTTCCCTTTGTGCATTCCCGCAGGATGTGGGCGTCGTTCCTGTGATCGTGACAGAGGACGTTGACAGTGAGACGAGCAGTGGGCGTCGACGGGGATCCCTGGACTCGGGCAACATGCAAGGAGTGCCATCTGCTGTGCCGAGCGGCAGCTCTGGCCCGAGTTCGCTCGGGATCCTTCCGGTGTCGCGGCCCCGTGCCGGCACCTGGTCCATACCCTCGGGCTACAGAGCCCGCCAGGGATCCAGCCCATCAGTAGCTGTGAGTATTATTTTTTACTTTTTTCTCGTTTTCACCGCAGTTCATTGTGGTTTGCTTTTCCTGTTTGGTTCTATCGCTGGGTTGTTTCGGGGACATCCTAAAACAGTTTCCATCGGAATTCAAGTAGGGATTTTCCACGCCTTTATACAGTACACTATATACTGTACTCGTATGTCTGTTATACTGTATAAGAGTATATCTTGGGATTGGATGAAATGCATGCTTTAGAGCGAAGACAACTCACAATAAAAAATCATTTCATCACAAACTTGGACGATTCCAGGAAGGTTCTATGATCAAGTTTTCGACACCCTAGCTGTTTAGTAAAATCTCGTTGCAACGAAGTTATTCAATAAAATATCCATCAATAAAATATCTTCGTTGTAAAGAAAAATTGGTTGTGATGAAATTCGTTGCAATGATATTCTACTGATGTGATTCTATTCTACAACTTAGTTGCGAATAAGTGATCACAAGTTCCGTCATAGCGAATAAGCTGTAATTTTAATACTGTACTGTATTTAATTTTTTCCCCGCCAGACCACGTTTTCTTTGGCGGTCATTTATGTATGGTGTGCTGAAAAGTTTGTCACTTGAACCATTCGTAAAGTGAACAGTTTTTAACATTTAGTGTAAATCTCTGTTTCAATTCAGAAATATCTCGTAAACGACTTTCAATTTGAGCCCTGATCTCATGAAGATTTGATTTTCATTAATTAAGCTTTTCGAACCAATAAATGGATGATCGCGCATATACAGCGTGAAAATTAATCTTGAGTGCATGTTCGATATTGAATAGTAGATCAGTAATTATTTGGCAGCTGCAGAAAGATCCTAATGAAATCGCTTTAAAAGTTTAATGATTGCTTCTGCATTTCGAGAGGGAAACCGAAATACTTCCTTTGCATTAACTTCCGAGAAGGATTCTCCGATTATTCTCTCTTTCATGACTTATTTACATATATTTGCATGCCTGCTTAAAATTAGGCCGATATTCTCTCTCTTATTTTCGATGAAGAAGGTTTTGCTGTGTATTCCGTATATAATAAATTTTAATTACCTCATGAGGCAACATGGCTTCATTTGCATGAGATTTCCTTGCGACTACATTTGCAGGGATTGATCGAATTATGGCACCTTTCTGTATAAATTAAAAATCACTCCGAGGCACTTACATTTTTTTATTGAATGCTCAAATGCTTCTTATATTGTGGTAAAATGAACGGCGACGTGTGGGATATTCTTTTTGACTGTTTTTTCTTCATGAAAGATTTCAAATTTCTTGATGACTCAAAATGAAAAATAAAGTCCCACCGCGAAAAACACAAAAGTAAGGTGTATTTCTATGTCGTAGATATACATTACTGTACCTGCGTTTTTTTAAGACAACTAAGTATGGAAAAATTCCTTTAGAACATTTTTGCATCCGGAAAAAATTTTGCTGATTGGTTGATTATGGCATGGGGCCTTTCATTGTGTTTGATGGGGGAATATCCTTGAGGATCTACTAAGAAAATTTCCGGAGTCCACGAGTACACGGGTGAATGCTAATTTGTAGTGATATTTATTTATTGGTCGACTGTACTCGTGTACTCCCTAAATGTATGGAATTTGAAAATGTACTTGGTTAAATACGCTTTCATCAATTTTGGATGCCATTTTTTGTAATGCTCTTTGTTGGCTGAACATTCTTCACTGTGCTGGAGCAGAGTCTTTTACATGTTTAAACAAATAATAAGAGAAAAATTTTCAAGATCATTTAAATCGTTTGTCGTCATTCAGAATTCAGATTAAAGGAATTTTCTGGTATGTAAACGAGTCGAACCTCTTACATACCACAAACAAAGCACAACAAATTTCATTGGAGTTACAGTAATTGTAGCGTTTTTCGATGCACGGGTCGACTGTACTTTTGTACTCCCTTTCTGTGATGAGGAGGAAATGTACCGCAATTTACGAGAATAAGTTTCCATCGATGCGTCATGCGGTGTAAAGGTTTTGATGCCCTCGTTGATTAAATCATCATTTTGAAAACACTTTCATGATGGAGTGTCTTTGTTCTCTTGACTGGAGCCTATGAACCGTGGGACCAGTGCAATACCGTGTTTCTCGATACTTGACTTCGTGGAGTTGAAGTGGAAAATCATGAATGTACAGTATTCAAGAGGTTTGTAAGATGGATGCACCCCAAGAATATATTCGAAAGTAGCGTTAATGCTACATTGCCTTTTTCTGGCTCATTCGGCGGAAATACTCCTTCCATGGAATCTTTCCGTGTGAGATGATTCGATGAAGTAATGGGTTTTATGGACACTTGCGGAGCTGATGGTTTCCGTCGGATGCCTTCTCCGGATATGAAGCTGAGGTCGAAAGAATAGTTTTTGTCATTATTCTCTTACAAGAGACTTGATCTCCGAGAGAAGAACCGGATGTGATGGTTCAATCGTTGAAACTACGCGGGATGGATCGCATGATCGAGTTAATCTTTTCGCCACAGGACTTGCGACGTTCTGCCCTTCAGTTCATCTTGAAAGCCGCATCGGATCGTATAATTTTGTGTCCTTCCCAAAACCTTATCTTTGTGGTCAATGCCTTATCTTTGTGGTCAATGCCTTATCTTTGTGGTCAATGAGTTTTCAAAATTGAACCAGTTCTCTTGTAGCGAAAGTCAAAATACTGAGGTTCATGACTAACGTTTTTACAATCCGCATCCAAGTGAAAGGAATAAGATAAGATTCATTGGCAGGTTGATTTCGCGTTTAAAACCAGAAAAATGTGCTCTTGAAGTTTACGTGAATTGAATCACGTGTCTCATTCTTCTGGATGCTCACAGTATTGCTAAGGTCGGAATTAGTAAAATGTTGTGCATATCTGATAGAAAATAAAGCGTAATTCCTCAGAAGGACGTTGTGTATAGCATTCGAAACCAGCTCTTCCTCGCTGTCAGAAATGTATTCGAATCATTTCAATTTATCATCTTCTTCGGTGAGCTCTGGAGATTGAGAAGGTTCTATCCATTCGAATGTTGATATTGTTGGCTATACGCGATGAAAACGAAAGCCTTCCTTTAAAAATGCGAGAAGTTGAAATTACACTTTCGAAACCAGGTGATTGGATATCTCATCTCCCGCATGGAAAATTTATCCGAACTGGATCAGTCATGATTTGATCCGGGAATTCGAATCGATCGAGATGCTCAATCCCATCTGATTGAACATAAAACCATTCTTGAGAAGGTTGTGTGTAGCGTTCACCTATAGCGTTCGAAATCAGCTCTTCCTCGCTGTGAGAATTTCATTTGAAGCATATCAATTTGTGATATTCTTTGGTAAGCTCCGAATATTGAGAAAATTCAATCCAATCAAATGGCGGATCTACGCTATATGGAAACGAAAGCCATTCTTAAAAGATGCGAGAAATTTAAAGTACATCTTTGAAACCAGGAGATTGGATATCTCATCTTCCGTATGAAAATTTTACCCAAACTCTGGATCACTCACGATATGATTCGCGAATTTGAATTGATCGAGATATTAAAACCCATGTAACCGTTCCGAATACACAATGAGTGATACATGAGAGCGAGAACCATTCTCGAAAGACATGTGAGAAGTTGAAAGTGTACGTTTCAAAACCAGAAGCTTGTGTATCTCTTATTCGCTGTGGAGGATTGTGGTTGACGGATCATGTCCGTGCATTGTGTCTTCGACTGTCAATCAGTCCAAGAAGTTTGTGACGAACAACGTACCGCGTGATATTGATTACTCTGGGATGCACGTGAAATGCGTCGGTTCTTGGTGGATAAATTGCTTCGACGAAGGAACCCTGCGAATGCTTCTACCTCAGTCGAGTTGGAAATACCTGCGGATCTAATGAAAGGGGGTCTAGGGATGACCTGTTCCGTGGATGCTCTGCTTTCATCCGAAAAATGCCGGGTGAGCTAATGGTTCACGTGCGAATATGGACCCCAAAAAGTGAGAATATTGTGGGGAAACTAAGAGCACAGTTTACAAATACAGTATGCATGGAAGAAAGGTAAGAAAATGACGAAGAAGGGAAAAATCTTGGAATCATTCCGGGAATAATTTGATGTTGAGCCCGTTGAAAATGAGAAGGGAGGGTTTTTCATATATTTTGGACTCAAATAGTCAAACTCCGATGTTCTGTGAGCGTTGATGAGTAATTGTTGGAATACAGTTTTCCAGAAAACAATTTTCGTCTCTATTGTTCGACGGATTACTCGCTTTGGGATTCAACGGAACAATTACCTGCACATTTCCTGAGCTTAGAGCTCGAAGCAGTTTTCATTTGGATGAATTTGAGATAATCCTTTCGCACTGTCCCACCATCCCATGACACAAATTCAATAATTACCTTTAGCGTAATAATTATTATTAATTTTAGAGTGAATATACGCTAAAATTCCCGAGCTAGCCCATTTATTGCCTAGTATGATAAGGTATGCTCAAATCCTCTGTTGTTGATAGAATATCCTTCTCGAAGAGTTAAAATGTGCGAAATTCACAGCTTCTTTTGTGGTTTCTGTCGCTTTGAAGTCTGTTTTTTTTATGCATCAGATTGTTTTGATTTTCTTCTCTGTGGGATTTTCCGTTATGCCATCGTCACCGTGACTTTTCTGTCGAGTGGTTGGTTGCACGCTTCGGAATTCTCGGAGGATTCAGCGGAATTTCGTTCTCTTCGAGAGGGTTGCAAGACGATCCTGTGAAATTGCATAAAATTGTAAGGCTCAGGTTTTTTAGTGGAGGAATGATTTCGTTGAGTCCAGTATGCTTGTCCTCGTGACAAACTATTGATACCGAAAATCGTGCTTGAAATCTGAAAACTGTGAACATATCGCCTTGAATTGAGAAGTACAGTATCTCTTGCGATTATCCGTTTTGGATTTGTGTGTACATACACGGTAGTCTAATTTTTTTAAATATCAGATGACGAAGAAATAATTCAGTTGGCAAAAAAAACAGAGCTCCTGACAGCGTGCCGGTTTGTAAATGTCATGTTTCGAATGATCGAACTTGTTTATGTCAACAGAGGGCTGCACTGAACCTCACTACTACAGTATCTTGTTACTATCTTCACTTACTTGGTTTGCTTCCGAGTCGTTTTGATGGAAAGTTCGCCTTTTTCGTTGAGATTTTGCCGATTCCGTTTCCTAAGAATGGTGAATATCTTGTTCTAAAATTTTCTACCCGTCTTATTTGTTCAAATATGACGCTGAATTTTTCGCAATGCTATAATTTGAATTAAAATTCAGGCTAAGTCTTGTGTTCAAAATCGTTTAATATTTCATGGCTTATCCCATTCTGCGCAATGTTTGATGATGTTTGGGAAAGTTCACGATTGCAACTAGCTCGCAATATTTCAAATACAATAAAAAAACAAATTACGGCTACAATTTTCAGTTGGACGGAACTGATATTTAAAATCCGTATTTCTGTTGGAATTGTTGAATGCTGAAGCATGCGGAGATTCAACAGCCTCTTTCAATTATGAAGAACTTGAATGTGAAAAGCATTCGCAGGCAACATTGTTTCCATTCTTCAGGGAAAAATTGCAGGCATCCCTTTAATTAATGAAATCCTTTATTCGAGGAAACGCGGCCTTTTTTTTTAAATACAGCTTTTGGATCTTCTGCTTAATCATGCACAATAGTGCCTTGATGTGTCCGTTTAGTGAACGGGTCTTTTGTTTCGACGTCTCCATCCCGCAGGGTCTATGATCAGCGTGTTCTCGCATCTGCTTCCCCAGCCAGCCCAATAGGGTTCTGTCTCTAGTTGGTGCAATTTTCTATGCGCCATTAATTTATTTGCGCCCATTGCAGAATCGAGGCGAGGAAGCAGTGCGATCGCCAGTCATCAATAGACGCAGCCACATCGCATCTGCCTTCTCTGAGGCTTTCCGGCCGCGGTCAAAGTCCGATGCCTCCAAGGAACGAGGGAAGAAGCCGGGTCTTATCTATTCGATGAAACAATCACTGCAGGTGAGTCTCTTCTTCTTCTCCTTCTCCTTTTCTCATCCCACCCCCCAGGCAAGCTGTGTTGGGCGAAAAGCTTTCGTTTCTCCACTTGTTGGGATGATTCTCTCGCTGATGAGATAGTTCCTTCGACCCGTTATGCTTCCCGGAGGCGTCGTCGCTCTTGAATGAAGGAGTAGAGTTATCTTGAGGAATGAGGGGAAATCATACTTTAGTTGATGAAAATCCAGGGTTTTACCTTCAAAGAGTAAAGATGATGGGTGGGTATTACAAAAACAGAGCAGCTTTGTGTTTTGATTTGAGAACGCCGATAAATTAATTATGAAAAGAAGGACATGTTTTCAGAGACTCTGCGGTTAGCAAGCTTGCAGGACAAGGTTATTTACAGTCGAATCTGGCCGACTCGAACCTCCTCAAGTCGAAAATCCCTCTCTGTCAGAATTTGTTGTCCCTGTCTGTAATATCTCAAGAGCAATATTACCATATATGAACCTTTCTAACTGGAAGACTTCCTCCAAGACTCCTCAAACCTCGATAAACATACTTTTCAAAGGCCGAATACTGAAATAGTGTTTAAAACCTTGTTCATGTTGGTCAACATTTCCGGGGAACCATTGATGTCATGAAGCATTAATATTATCGGTGATGCGATTCAGGAGATGAAAAGCTTCCATGATGACGAATGAAGCCAGGGATATTTTCCAAGATCCTGCTAATCTCTTGAGGGAAAGCCAGTTCTTTTGATCTGTTGGTGGAATGGTTATTCATAGAGCTCGCGTCATCCATTGAGGGTTTTGGCCTTCCCTTATTTCTCAGTTCGATTCGATGTGGATTTCCAGAGTCAATTTCGAGTACTTGCTAATTTGTTTCTCTGTTATCTGTGGTCTATCGGATTTTGGGCTCACGGGAATGTGAAAAACCGAAAGAAACCAACAGTAGCACTATACATTTCGGAGCGTCTATTAAATTTTCCGTAATTTGATTCAGTAGGACTTGTAAATTTCAATTAGATCCGTTTTTTATTTTGGCTGTTTTGGATTTCCAATCGGACGCACATCAAATTAATATCCCTTACGCAGTAGAAGGATTTTGTTGAATCCTTGGATTCTCTTCATTATCTTCGCAATGAAGTGGAAAGTTATCTTCGTGATATGACAATAATCAAAACACAACTTTGCAATTAGCAATATCACGTAGTACTGTAATTTGTAGTTCATTGTTTGGCGTGGAAATCATCCGTTAGTGAATAGTAAACTTTTTGCATTTCAATCATTCGTGATTAATCACTGAGTCTTTATTCGCCCGATCAAGACAGACTCGATCTTCTGTCAAAATAATATAATCGTAAGTTGGATTGTACAATACTGTATTCTTTCTTTGACTTACATACAGGAAAGATAGCTTACGATTTTGAATGCTTTTTTTTATTTATTTTTTAGCATTTTCCTCTCATTTTTGGGCCACTTTCTCACCAAATTTCACTTTCAGACTGAATGATCTTTTTTTTTTTTTAAACCGAGGCACGCTTGTCGATCGCGGGAAATTAAAATTCCCCTGAGGTTTTACCCACGTTCATTCTCTCCCGAGTGGATAAATATTTGAAGGACTGATGACAAGTGAATATTCCTGATCGGAAAAGTTGGGTTTCTTCAGTTTTTCTTCCGGTTAATGTCACTCTCAGGCACCAGTACGGAATTTTGCCTTCATATATGTACTGTTTCGGGGCTCTTGGTGTAATGGCACGCAGGTCTCATGGCATTTCCTGTGGCTGACAACGTGTTGACATTTTCTTCGGAAGGTTTATTTCTAGGTTTTTTTTTATTATTTTGCGATGCACGCTGGGAGATGAGGTTTCCTTGAACTGTGCTATTAGGAATAAAAGTATCCGCTGGGAAATCGAAATCCCTTTCAGAGGATCAAGGTCTGAATTCCTCTTCCTCCCACATCTTCTGTTTTTGAGAGCTGAAATCGTCTTCGTGGAAGAGATGTGAAGTTTTTCGTGTACCTGGTGTAAATTTGGGCCGTGCTGTTTAAAATGGGACTGTCGAATGATGGAATGTATAAAGCTTCGAGTAAAAGGCTGGAAATAAAAAAAAAAAACCGAAATGGAAAACTTGACGATTTTTAGGGCACTCCTTGGAAAGCGGAACAATGTCTATGCTCAAAGGCTAATACAGTACTATAAAATTAATTTAAATGCCCGATAATTCAAGTTCGGGACCAAGTTTCAAGGAGAATTTCCGCGTAAATATGGTCTGACCTGCCACTCATTAGTTTTTATGTTGGATGACTGCTATAACAAGGATGCAATTAAAAAATTCTCATGCTCATGTTCGTAACAAAGGAAGCATGTTGACGTCCGTTCTTCTCTGGTTCCCGAACAACGACGACTAAAATATGTTTGCCTATGAAAGGATTATGTAAATGGGGAAACATACGGTAAAGGGGCCAAAGATTCCAAAGCCCCGAAATGCCACATAAACTGCTTACCTTTAAAATTTCGACGACGTTTTTCTCGGATTTCCTCATGAAGGCATCTCTTGAAATGCGAATTCTACTTGCAGTTAAACTGCTTTTCCAGCTGTGGTAAATGGTGTGTAGCATTCTCAGAATGTGTGTTTGTACTTCTCGGATGAAGTCACACGTATTATCGAACTCATCCGTTCGCAAATATTTCGGAAAAAGACAGTAACTCTAAGTCTGAAGTGCCTTGTGCCGAAAATAAAATTGATGATGCATTTTGAGAAAGTTTCTACCGAAGCTCTGGTACGAAATGATTGACTAGTAACTAGCAAAATTCATGTGCTTGTAAACCTGTGATCCGCCCCCCCCCTTTCCGTTAGAAAACGCTACATAACATTTTTCAAATTTTGTAACGAAAATATTGCGCTCCACACTGGCTCGGTTTCCGAGCGGAATCTAAAGGCAACTTTTTTTTTTCTGGGAGAGATTAAACATTAAATCCCCGAAAAAATCCCCAAATCCCCACTGTACGATTACCACAGGCCCTTCAACATGTAACTATGGTGAATTGTTCAAATAAAAAATAATTCTCCGCATAATTTGTATCATTAAACATATTGAGCTACTTTTATAGAAACAAAAATTTAATGTAAAATTTGTCCCAATGCCCAGGTGTGGCTGGGCACCCTCAGCTAGTAACCTATAAATATGCTTGCATGAAATTGATTTGCAACCTGAACTGTATTTGCACGCTGTATTCATCCGTTTTAGCCGAAGCTCGAGACTCGTCTTCATATCTCGGATGATGGCAAGCGTTTCTGCCAAAGCTTTCATCGTTTTTCTTTTCTCTTTCAAAAATCGAGTTTGCACGCGGCCGTCGAGTGCTCTGTCGATTAATCGTGCCTCTGGGAGTTCTGCAAACAAGCGTTGCAGCGACTAGGCCGTTTGTCAAGTTCACGATAACTACCTGCTGAAAGGAACGCGTGTCGATCGATACGCCGGTTGCTTTTGCCCCATTGGGGGGGAAACAGTATTTGTAGGTCAAGTCTGGTTCCCGGGTTTGTCTGAGCGTATTTCTCTGCGTTTTTTTTCTTCTTTTTATTCTTTTTCGGAGCTTCATTATCCCTGTGAAAGTTCTCTTTTTCGCAATCCTCCAGACACGCGAAACCGGGAGTTTGACGTGAATTTATTTATATGAGTGCGAGCACTGCGAGGTGAACGAGATTTTTTTTTCATGACCTTTTTTTGTTTTTGAAGAAAGGTATCTTTTTTAAATACGGGCGCTTATATCTAAATTGACGCTCTCATCTGAGCAGAGTCAGGTTGCTTTTGATTAAGGTTCGCTCATTTTTCTTCTGAGAAACTTTGCTCCTGGTGAATTATTTTCTCATCGGAAACTGATGTTCAAAATTTATGAAAACACAAATTTCGCGATTTGGTGCTCATTACTTCTTGGAATATTGACGTTTTTGAGAGTCTAATGCTGCGTGAATGATCATGTATTTTCCTTTTCACATTCGCCCAGCGAATTGCGAAACCACTTGTCCTATTTCCTCTTTTTTTTTGCGTATGGAAATGAAAGAACATCATGTAATTCTAGATTGCTCACTCTGTCGTCATTGATGTCATGTGGAACGACGCATTTTGTGAACGGTTTTGTGAAGACTTATGCCTTCTAAAATGTTCAGATTACTGGCTTCGTTTCGATATTTTTCTAAAAATTAACTGCAGTACTGTACTTTATTTTGGTTTCTTTCCTATTCCACCTTTCGTGAAGCCTGACTCATGCTGAAAATCACAGAATTCGATCCACTGTTGAAGAAGCTTGAGAAATTTCTCAAAAATTTGGAGAAGATTCTTGTCTTCATGTACCGTACTTGCAAACGTCCTCGTGTAGGTTAGAAGATTTATATTTCAGTCGAAATAAGCTATTGATACTTCGCAGATATTAATATCTTATTATTAGAAAAGACTTGAATTAAGCAGTCGATTTTAGGGTAATCGTAGGATTTAAACTGTCTGGCGTACTTCGTTTCACTTCAGGGACGATTTACTGCTTGCTTTATTAGATGCAATGAAAAAAATTAGAGGTGATGATCCTTTTTCATCAGCAGATAAAATCACGTTACTTTTCAATGCACTTTTTAACGTTTACAGCATAGTCATTGATTTTGGCTGAGCGTCAAGGATTGTGTATCAACGATCCACCACCCTGGCTCTCAAGAAGTATTCTCAAGAAACTATACGGAATTAGTGGCTTTGTTCCTTCTTCCGGATTAACTTGAAGGTTATTCAGTCAGTCGCATGCATCTTATACTCTGCCTCAAACAAGGATCGGGCAGCCTTGGTTCTGTGAAATAAAGGAATAAAGGAGAGAAAAAGCCAGGATAGGGGAATCAGAGAATGGCGCATTCGTGGTGGACAAGTGCCAGGGACTGGCCCGGTTCCATCCTGGTGCTATTCGTTCTTGCTGTTGGTAGTCAATATGAGCATGTTCCGCGCCATGGCGTGTCTATGTAATTCCGGGGGTGAAGAAGATGACTTTTTCTATATATATATATATATATATATTTCCCACTTTTCCTAACGAATTTGTTATTCGGGAAATATTTTTAATGGCGACGAGTTTCATGTTGGATCTTGCGTGATATACTGAAGGAGGTGCTCGTTTCCGGACGAGCAGTTGTTCGTTCATTAAGAGGGTCTGCAAACTCTGGCCTCTGGCATCCGCATGTGTGATGATTCCAAATTTATATTCATGGGGGGAGGCCTCTGAGTTAGTGAGATTTTGAATGCATTATTTCTAAGGGAATTCAGTCAGGGACTTGTAAAAAAATCGAGGTACTGTACTCAACTTGATGAGGTTGGAGTTTTTGAGGTTGTACTTAGTCGTGACTGATGTTATGGACTTATGATGCAAGGGAACGAATTGCGTGTCATGGCCTGTCCGTGATTTCACATTTCAGTTAATCCAAAAGGCGACGGGATTATTATCCGCCGTAAAAGTTTGATTCAAGAAGAGATCCGAATTATTCAAAGCGGAGAAGTCCGTTCGTGGACTTGCATCATAATGGAGAGATAGTTTGAGGTATGCATATTTATAACTCCATGTGTGGATTTTAATAGCGGAGGTTCCATTTTGTAAGCCTATTTTTCCGGTTCATCTGTTCGCATGAACCTGCCGCTTTCACTATATTTTTTCACCTCTACGTGCAATTAAAGTATATATTCGGCCGACGTTGATATTGACCAACTGCGCAATTTCTCCTTTCAATTGGTTTTTTTTCAATGTCAAAAATTTTAGTCAGATGAATATTGTGATACTGTATTTGAATATTGCATAACCATCAGCCCTTCATCGGATATCTTTCAAAGTTTGATAACGAATTGGCCTTCATCTCAGATTTAAAAAAAAAGCTGAAATGAACCAATTTATCTGAACGTGGGTCGGGTTTTTCTCAATTTGCTTCTAATTTTTATTTTTGATCAAGGAGTGATGAGCTAAGATTAAATAATTAGAATACATTTATTTATGATATATATTTGAAAATAAACGAACGAACTAAACGTAAGGTCCGCATTTGATTTGTTTACTGCCTTTCCTACAACAGAAGACCTAGTAATTGAATAAGCCCTAGTATATTTTTTTCGAAAACGACTTTAAATATGAGCCTTTCACCAAAAAATGAGCCTTTTTTTCTTTCCTTGAAATAGGATGACAAGAAATGAAACCTCTCCGAATTTGAGCAAAAATACCGGTAGCTGCCGAATAAAATTCATGCTTTTATTCTGATCATATCGCTTGCTTGACGTATGAATTGGAGACTACCCAATATGATACAGTACCTTATGACATTCGGAAATTCCTCGCTCTTTTCCCCTGAGTGTAACACATCATCCTGTCGATAAGCCGTAGCTTATTTGAAAGAATACGAATATTTCCGTGAAATATCCGTCCTGGTCGGATTCTGATGCTTTTTATAAGGGGTCGTTCGCTCTGCGTTGCATATGTAGTACAGTACTTGTAATA